TGGGAGGAAAAAGTCATTAACAAAAATTAACTTTAAGGTTAAGAGGAGGCAGCTCTAGGAAAAGTAACGTGAATTGTATATTTCAGTTACCAGATAGAATAAGGTGCTGTTCCTGGAATGCATATGCAAGCCTATTTCAAAGCTTAAACAGGGATGAAGCAGACACATGTCACAGACCACAAGACAGCAGACTGTGTGCTTCCCTAAACAGCCTCAGCATTGGGAAGATCGAGACACATCTCTTAGAGCTTTTGCAACCAGCGCAGGACAAGCAGAGCTACCTAAATACAGAGTACTGACAAAGAGCCTGGTCAGAGGAGAAGATGCAGGAGAAGGAAAGATAAAGCAGTAAATGGAAAACAAGGACCCAACATAGAAACTCCTGATTTGTTGTAGCTGTAGAGCCTTAGAAGAGGGGTCAAGCATAGTAGTAAATCACTGTAAATGGTGAAAGGCCTATAAATATTCTGTGCTGCGGAAACAACAATTTGCTGCCTTACGAGCAGCTGATGAGTTTATGCTGAGCCACTCCACTAGCAAAAGGGTTTCTGAAGTCAGAACTATCTGTAGCCATATTTACTTTTAACTATAGCGTGCAAAAAAATCATCAGAAAAGCTGCTTTTACAATTGGAATGAAAGACACTTGTTATTTGCAGCCCATGTTCAAAATTACAGCCACGATGATTTTCCAACTAGCTAGTAAGAGGGAAACAGCAGATTCTAACAGCAGTCAAAGTTATTTTCTCTTGTATACATTAGGCTCCTGATATTCTGGTGTTCATGTTGACTCACAAAATGAGGAAGAAATGAAGTAAGTCTGCATGCACATAGAAGTGTACATACTGTACCTACGTTTTAATCAGTTTCATGATTTACTACATGTTCCCCAAAACTTTAGTGGTATCCAACTAGGAAAAGATCTGGACTCTACCCCAAAAACATATACTTTGTAAGGAAACCAAACCCCCAGACTGCTCTGAAGTGGGTAGCATCTCAGCACAATCCCTTTCAGTTCTTACAACTGAAAGTTATAAGGTTTTTGTTCAAGCTGGAAAAATTGAACAATGGGCCAAAATCCTCATATAATATCCTGTGGCTAGCACTGGCCAATAGCAGGTGTTATTCTCCTGGGTTTATAAAAAGTAAAGAACCACTCAAGGGAAAAATTCAGAAGCCCTGATGATTCCTTTCATGTCATCCAGATGGCAGCCATTACAAAGCAAGAGCTGCTTTGTAATCCTTATAGTTCATTTGACTTGTCTTTATATAGTGTTATTTTATATAGTTTGTTGCCATTTGCCTTTATATTTTCTCTTCCATAACACTGCTGGTTCAACTTGCCACACAAAATTTAGCACACAGTGGATAATTCAGGACACCAGACAAATAAGATGATCATTGTCTTTCAGGTACCAAGGAAACCAGGAGAGTTCTCAGTCCCAGCTCTGCCACAGGCCTCCAAGGTGAAGCTGATGCCTGGCACTTCTGATGCAATGAATACACAGAGAAGGCTCATTAATAGCTCCAAGAACCATAACTTGGGTATAGTTGGGTTTACTGTACTGACAGATTGTTTTTGCAACATCTGGGTTTTTCCAATTTACATACTCTGCACAGAGACATTGCATACGGCTCAGCATTCGCTTCTTGCAATGTTTGTTGTCTAGTCTAAGCAACTCATCCCAGTTCCACGATTCTCCAGCTTCCCCAAGTCATTCCAAAGAGGAAGGGGCTCTTGCCAGCATGCCCCCTCCTTCAGGCCCAAGCACACAGTCACTTTCCAGTATCAATCAGAGAACATGGACGCCAAGCATTTCAGTATCCCCTAAGGTCTGAAAAGCTGAATCTGAGAAGTTTCTGGGTTGCAAAAGGCTGAGGTAACTGGAGGAAGCACTATACATGCTTAGCCTGTTCTTACACATCTGTTTTATTTTCAGACACTATTACTTCGTACTAGCCCAATCCAAAAGAGCTCTCTAAACCTTCCCTGGAAAGGGGCAGTTAAGACAAAAGAAAGCAGGAAGGACTAGAGAAACCAAGAAAAAAGGAATAAAAAAACCCCAAACAGTTAAAGCAACAGGGTGTGAAGGCCAAATGGTCAAAAAGAAAAAAAAAATAAAATCAAGAAACAGGAACTGGAGAAAGAAAACAAAACAGAGCCAAGGACTCAGCACTTCCTGATGGCACCAAGGTGCCTGTTAAAGACCTGATTTGGTGGAGAAGCAGAATTTGAGGCCCCAGCATGCACCAAGGTGTCTTGTATCAGTGGCAGAAGAGACAGGATATGCAGCCTGAGGCATTCCTGGTTTGACTTGGTACAGCCGTTCTTGTTTGTGTCAGAGTCCAGAAGAATATGCCACGAGACCAAGGAACAGCAAAGACCTCCTGTATTCTGCAGTAAGATATAGCCAGAAGCTTTCCTTGTAACCAGCAGAGAGACATCAAGTTTCTCTCTATTCTATGATTCTGATTCTCTCTCTAAAGGTACCTGCATCAGGGTTGGATGAATCACAGTTTGGCAGCACCTGTCTTGTGTTTGTAGAAGATTAGGCACTTAATGCAGAGCAGATGCTTACTTTTTGCATGGTTAAAAATAGATGAGATCTATCCCATCAAAGCTGTTACAATGGGGGTAGGTAGTTACCATGGTAGAGGTAAGCAGTTGCAGAGGCCATAAGTCCACTCACAACCCCAGTAGCTGTTTGGATGGAAAAATCGCTAGAATTTGGGCTTGATTTAAAGATGAGGGGCAGAGAACCTGACCTCTTACAAAAAGCCCCAACAAAACAAACAACTCAATGAGTTCCTACACACTTCATAGAAATAGGCAGCTGCTTATAGGAGAGACTCAGCACAGCGCTGCTTCCACCCTTGCAAGAGCCTGAGATCACCCCAGGTAGAGTACAGCTTCTGTTGAAGCTTGCACATAACCGAGTGCCAGGCGTAGGACGTGAACACAAAGGGAGGCCAGATGCTACCAGCTCTACAGCTCACAAAACTAATGCTTAGAAGGACTGTGCTATGAAGCAACTCGCTATTCAGAGAGAAACCATTACTCGGCCAGCAACATTTACTCAGCATGTGATCATCACAGGGCCTTGGTCTGCACTCTTTATTTATTACCACTTGTAAGACAGACGGCTGCAGAGTTCTTGAAGCAGATGCCAATATAATGTGCAATTCTGGCGCACAAAGCCGCAATACAGCAAAGATAACTATGTATTAATTATTCCTCTATGCTGCAAATGTATTTTCATCTCTACCCTGCAAGATTGCATGGATACCCAAACACGCACACTCACACAGGTCACAGTCACACCAGAGATGGCTGCAGATGTCAAACCAATGTTTTGTTTCCTTTAAATTCTATATGCGTATGACAAACACATAGATTTAACAAACAAGAACTGTTACACTGGGTCAGACCAAAGGTCCACCGGCCAAATGGAAAGCAGTCATCCTGCCTTTGACAGTGGCCACTAATGGATGCCTAGAGAAAAGCACAATAGGTCAAACCTATAATGGCACCTCCCCGATTTACTCTCAACAGCCGTGCAGCCATTCTCTCTACAGCTTTCCCACAGCACAAAAGGAGCTCTCTTATTTTGGTCTGTTCAGGGATACCTACAACTGTTACATCTACGGTTGTCAAAACATTTAATGAATTTTTGGCAGGAAAACATTTCCCAAGAGCTGTTTCCAATGGGTGGAAAGGGTAGAACCCCACGTTCAATGCTGTTTGCCCAGGAAACGCCTCAAAAGGCACCACCGAGCCACCAGACCCCAGCAAGGGCTGGTGTGAGCTCTGAGGAACCCACAGGCGCGGGGCAAGGTTCGATGGCAGCACCTCTGCAGAGAGGACAGGGTGACCGCTCCTCCGGGCTACCAGAGGGCCAGGAGTACCGGAGCCGGGCAGAGCCCCGGCGCTGCAACCCCGCCATAGAGGCACGGGCGGCCGGGGCGCTGTCACCCGGGGCTGATCAGCCCTGAGGTCGCACGAGCCCGACGCGGGGCAACGAGCGCGCGCTGAGACCACGACGCGAGGAGAGGGCGGGACCTGGGGCGGGGCGGGGCGGGGCTCCCGACACCCGCCCGTCTCGTGCTGCCGAACTCGCGCCCCACCTCCTCTTGCCCTCCCCCCCCCCCCCTCGGCCCGCCCGTGGCGCGCGACCTTGCGTCAATGCAAATGAGCGGCGCGAGAGACTAGGGGGCGGGGCGCCCCTCCCCTCCCTGAGCGAACGCCCTATGGGTTGGCGGGCGGCGGAGCAAGCTATCGCGGTCTCCTTCTTCCCCCCCCCCGTTCTGTTTGCGGACGTAAAAATCCGGGCGCACCCGCTGTCGCGAACAAAATAAAAGTCCCTTGATTCCAGGTATTGAGGGTAGATACACCGTCGAAGCCCGACAGGCCTCCAGGGCGTTCCAAAAAAGCGGCTGTCACTTTCCCCCACACACACTTAAGCAGTAGCGGTCAACCCGCCGGTGGGGCGCCGTGGGCGCGGGCGCTGGTAATCGCAAGCAGCACCCCCCCCGAGCCGGGCATTTGAGCTGGGCTCCGGAGGTGATGCATTATTCATGAGGGGGCGGGGCCTCCAGCTCATTACCGAGGTCGACTGGGCGCGCAGTGAGGTGGGGTTGTGACGTCACTATGACGAATGTTCCGACGTTCTTAAGGGCCGTGCAGCCAGCTCCAACCCAGCAGTGGGGGCGGGGGAGGTGGCTGGGAGAGGGCGGAGCTTAGCTGAGGGAGCCGGCCCGCTGCCGTGTGGTGTACCGGCGGCCTCGCTGACTTCTGGCAAAGCCGAGGTTCCCCGCTTCCTCCTGCATCACGGGGTAGCGGCTGAGGGGCAGGCGGAAGAATTATATGGGACTGAGGGTCGTCTGGTGTTGGTGACGAGCTAGCGGGGTTCTTGTGGGTGCGACGGCAGGCGAGAAGGGCCGCACGGAGAGGATCCCGCCAAGCTAGAGATTTTTTTTCTCCGATTAAAAAAAAAAGCCCTGATAAAAATAGAACTGTTTATTATCCAAAAACTCCGGCACTGTTAAAACCAGTGCAGCGGACTCACGGCAAAAAGGAGGGCTTTATTCCAGAGAGTGGCTATTCCGTGGGTTATATAGGGGTTTGCGGTAGGCTGGTGTTGAAAGCCCCGCTCCCCCAAATCACTGATAGTTATCTTTGTCTCTTCAGACTCCCGGGGCAGGGGTTCGCCAGGGGAGATCTCTCCAGTGCATGGGCGATCGCAGCCCCGGGCTCCCACAGACGGTGACCTCCTACCCTAACCCACCGTCGAGTGTAGGAGGTGCTGGCACGGCCGAGCCCTTCCCTTGCCAGGCAGCGGCGGCCGCCTCTTGTTCCTCCTCCTCCGGTCCCTTCTCACCCGCTGTAACCGGTTCCTCCGGCAGCGGCGGCGTGTCCGGTGGGTCGCCGCCGCCCTCTCTGTTCCCCTCGGCGGCAGCTGCTGCGCATCACCAGAACATGCAGGATGAGCTGCTCCTGGGGGTGACACAGCAGCAGCCGGGCAGCGAGAGGCTGGGCAGCAGCCCCGCATCAGGACACCCCCCTCTCGGCCACCCCTCCTCTGACTTTAAACCCAGTCTCAGCCCCCACCAGGATTTAAACAAGCAGCAACCGCAGCAGCAACAGCCGCCGCCTCCTCAGCTGAGCCAGAAGAGGAAAGAGTTTAAGCAGCAGCCGCTCAGCAGCCCAGCCCAGCTCGGCAGCAGCCACCCCCTGAATAACCACCACCCCCCAGACTATCATCACCACCCCCCTCAGCAGCAGCAGCAGTTCAGCCACCCCACTGACAAGTACCAGCAGCAGGAGCACAGGCAACAGCAGCAGCTCCAGCTCCTCAGCGCTCACCCCCCGGAGCCTCCGCGGACGGGGGACTTCCCGCACCACCGGCCCCTCAGCCCCGCCGAGCGCAAGGGCGGCGCGGACAGAGGGGGTTCCGAGCTGCTCGCCCCTTCCTGCCCGGGGGGATCGGTGTCCGCGGACCCCAATGTGGGGGTGGCCGCCGCCTCCTGCGTGAATCCGCCTCCGTCTCCTCCTCATCTGCAGGCGAGAGCCAAGCTGCCCCCCATGGAGTCCCCCCCGAACAGCCACTTGCTGGGCAGCCCCGGGAACCTCCTGCCCGGCGGGCTAGGCTCTGGCTTCAGCAGCCTGCAGAGCCCGGAGATCCCCAGCCCCCATCACCAGAGCGGGGGCGGCTCCTCCTCGGCGGCTTCCCCTCCTCCTCCGCCGCTGCCCGGCTTCGGCACCCCCTGGTCGGTGCAGACCTCGTCGCCGCCTCCGCAGCAGACGCAGCAGCCTCCGGTCTCCAGCGGCGGCGGCGGGCAGATCAGCGCGATGCCGCCCCCGAGCCCGGAATCCGAGACCAGCTTCTACCCGGGGATCCCGTCATCCATCAACCCCGCTTTCTTCCAGAGCTTCTCGCCGGTGTCTCCTCACAACCCCTGCGCTGGGCCCTTCAGCAGCCCCTTCTCGGCCGCCGCCGCCCCCCCGCCGCCGCCGCAGATGAATTTACCTCAGCAGCAGCAGCAGCAACAACAGCAGAACCGGAGATCCCCTGTGAGCCCTCAGCTCCAGCACCAACACCAGGCGGCCGCGGCCGCCGCCGCCTTCCTGCAGCAGAGAAACTCCTACAACCACCACCAGGTACCGGGCGGCGGAGGGAGACCCGGCCAGCCGCGGAGGGGCGGCACGGAGCCCGCGCAGGCCGGCTTCGGAAGGGAGCCCGGGGAGAAGGGGAGCCCAGGGAGGGGAGGAGGACGTGAGTCGGGGGGGGCTCTGCTCCCCGCGTTTCTCTAGTAGCGGGAGCTTTCTCCTTCCCCGCTGCCGGCGCTGGGTGAGCCTGCGCGGCGGTGACAGCCCGGCGAGACCGCGGAGGCAGGGTGGGGCCCGGCCGGGCCGCTGTCGTTCCGCCGCGCTCGGCGGGCCAGGAGCCGCCGGTGGCTGGTCCGAGGACACGGGCGGCCCCCGCCGTGCGGGGCGAGGGTGGACGGCGGCCACGGCGGTCGGGCCGGGAGGGTGTTGCCAGCGGCCCGCCCCGGGCCCGGCCGGTGCTCCCCGCTCGTTCCGTGTGGCAGGTGGCGGGGCGGCCCCTTCAGCCACCTTCTCTGGGCTGTGGCCGCCCTCCTCAGTGCTCTGCCGACTACCCGAGAACGTCGTTTATTTTCGGGATCAGAGGAGGCGGTTTCCTCTCATAAAAGAGGATAAACGCTCGTTTTCTTGTCAAGGGGTTTCGCGGTCAAAGCATCCCCATTGCCCCCCGTTGTCAGCGCGGTGTCGGAACAATGCGCCTGACAGCCCCCCGGCGCCGGCGGTGCCTCCTCCTTGGAAGTCCCTTCCCCGTGCTCGGCCGGGTGGGCACCGAAAGCAGGTTCAAAAGGAAAGCTTGTCAACGTTGTTGCCTTTTCAGGGGTTTCGCCCGAAATTACTTGATTTTGTATCCAGAGTCAGCGGCACTGTTTCGTGTTACCGTAGTTTTGCTACCAGTTTTAGTCAAGCGGCATAACGATCCCGTGTTAAAATGGGAGTTTGCGTTGTTTCCTGGAACAAAATACTAATTTTAAGAAGTTGCAGGAAAGCAGATCCATGTTAATGTTACCTGCTAGTCCGTAATAGCCACATCTCCCTCCGATCACCTGCTCAGTTATGAAAGGCCGAAGTTAGAGGCCTCATCTTAATTTTTCTTTCATTCTAATATTAAATCCTGACAGTTTTAATCGGTAGAGCTGGATTTGGAAAGCATTTCTGTCAGGATTGGAATCTCACATTAAGTGTGCCTGTCCAAGAACTAATTTGGATGCTTCATGGTTAGGAGCTAGTTATCCTTAACATCTATAATCTCTTCAAACAAATTCCAAAGCAGTTTTCCAACAGTAAGGTGTACAGGAATCTTCTCTCAGTTACAAGTTGTAGGTATACTTAAAACAGTGCCATGGCAGCGTAGCTATCGATATTAGAGGCTTGTTAACATTTGGCATTATCTCTTCAGGTTTGTTTCACAATAGAGTGCCTGCCTCTCCCAAAATTCCAACCAAAGTATTCAAGTTTTACAACATAATTAGCTATAATTATATAGAATGAGATGTTTTCCTGATTACTTGACCAAAAATGGCTTTAGCTGGGGGTTTTGTTTGGTTTGGGGGTGATTATTATAATTTTGTCTTTCTGTTTTCAGAAAGTTCAGTTCTTTCTAATACATACTGACATGCTTTACATTTATTTCTGTTACTAGAGTTACAAGCTGTAGGTTTCTTGCAGCTAAGCTTAAAGTACTGCGTTTTGACTTCACAGAAGAGCTAAATATAGGACATTGATATAGGACATTCCCCCCCCCCCGCCCCATTTCTTGTTTGAGAAAAAGACCTTCCAAGAACAGATCGGAGAACGTTGAAGATAAATACTGTTCCTCACTGTCAGTCAGGCTCAGTGGGTCCACCTCTTGGTAGTATGACAGCAGCTATAGGTCACTTTTTTGCACAAGTTGTGGCTTAGCAATAAAAACTTACAGTCCTGTTAAAATCTTCCCTCAAAATACTGCTTCCATTTTCATACTGAGAAATACAGTGCACTTGTTTAGATACAGAAATGCTTCATACTGTGTCCCTGCCCATGGTGGGGGTGGGGGTGGGGTGGAACTAGATGATCTTAAGGTCCTTTCCAACTCTTAACTGTTCTATGATTCTATGGGAGGGGGAGGATCACCCAAAACCCTGCATAATTCCACAGATACTCCCATTCGTTACTCCAGAAATACTTGAGCAGCAGGTTCAAAATAATGTGTTTTCATGCGGAAATGTTAAGATAGCTCCTTCAAACAGATTCTCTGTACAATAATCAGTACTCTTTTTGCTCTTATATGGTAATACTGAGACGATACTCAAAACACTGGGGAGGGAAATATCAACCTGCCATCTGAACTTTAATTTTTAAACTTCTACTTGCTGCAGTGAAGTGCTACTACTCATGCTAGTAGTAGAATAATAATTACTATTTTAAGTATTATTGTAATTAACCTCTTTTAAATTCTTGTATTATTTTTGCAGAAACTTCACCATTTAATACCATGTAATACCATGTGATGTATAAGAAAATGGTCTCCTTGTGTTTTGTAACATGGTTTTACACCCTGGGATTGTTCTACTGCGTAGCTTTAAAGAATGCTACCAGTTATGACAATCTAAATGGATTGCACAAGCACTGTGGTGTTTTTTAGGGTGGGTGTATGGAGGAGTGGAAATGAAAAATTCTTTATGATGTTTTCTTCCTTGCCTCAGTAATTAATTTCCATGTTATCAGGAAAGAGTGGTTTATAGAAATCTCTGTGCATGGGTTATTTGGTGGTTGGTTGTTTTGGTTTCGGTTGTTTTGGGTTTTGGTTGTTGGTGTTTGGTTTTTTTTGGGTTGTTTTTTTTTTTCCAAGTAAAGTGACATTTCAAGTATTCTCAAATAATACAATTTGATCTTTGTTTTTAGCCTCTTCTGAAGCAGTCGCCCTGGAGCAATCAGAGCAGTGGCTGGAGCACAGGAAATATATCCTGGGGAGGAATGCATGGCAGAGACCATCGTAGAACTGGAAACATGGGGATTCCAGGAACTATGAACCAGATCTCTCCTTTGAAGAAGCCCTTTTCTGGTAATGTCATAGCTCCTCCTAAATTTACTCGCTCCACTCCATCACTGACACCAAAATCGTGGATTGAAGATAATGTTTTCCGAACTGACAACAACAGTAATACTCTCCTTCCTTTGCAGGTAAGGTTGGTGTGTAACTGCTCGTAGTCTTTGTTCATTTTAAAGGAGAATTAAGCAGTCATTGTAACCCTGATAGGTGGTTTGAAAATTGCCTATTTCTGTATTATTTTTAGTCCTAAATTGCAGCTAACCCCAATGTTTTCACAGTATTCAGCAATATGTGATTCTCACAGTTAATTAAGGATGTTGACTGTCAAGAAAGACAGAAACTGGAGCTGCTGATGTGCAATAGATATAACAAAATATGTTTAATCCAGCAAGTTTTTTTTGCCTATGGTAACACTTGTATTCTTATCCGTTTAAAACTTGGACTTCTTGTTCGCTTGTGCTCCTACATAAGTTTTCTTACTTTTGTAGGTGGCTCCGAGTCTTTGTCACATTCATCTTTTACTGGTGTTTTAGGCTGTCATTTGCATATTAGTGAGATTTTTTTTATTCCATTCTAGCAACTTTTATGTTATGTTTTGGCTGTAAACCCCATGGTTTAGAAGTGTCAAACAGGAGGAGTGTGTCTTAGAACTAAAGGGTTCACCTCCCAAATTTTGTCAGTGACATCTCATGTGACTTGAAGCAAGTGTACTAGCTCCAGCCTCAGATATCTCTTGGCAAAATGTTACTTTTACCATTCCTTCCTAAATTAATTTAGTCGTAACATTTCTTGTTAGTGGAGACCTTTATTGTTTTGGATCCCAATCTCAGTTGCCATTTGAACAATTTCTAGGTTTTTTTTCTCTCTCACAGTGAACTACTGTATTCCAGTAAAAGTAGAAAAATATTGTAATGCAGAGAAAATGTTTCTTTCTCTCCATAAAAGGCTAATATAGTTGGGTGTTTTGTTAGGTTTCACACACAATCACTTGGAGTTTAATTTGTTGTAACTGTGACCATATTTGACTTAAAACAGCTGTATTTGCATCATTTAGCAAGCTAATCATCATGTAGCTGTAATAGTGGTAAAAGGGTGTTCCCTGGGACCAGATTTCTCACCAGAGTTCCTATTTTTCTTACCATTTTTCTAGTGGACTTCTTTTTGGCATAAGAGGCCATGTCCTCACTCTGTCCAGGTGAGCTCTGATACTTGCAGTATTATGAAGGGTAATGGTGGCTTTCAGACATACCTAAATTCTGCACCA